AGCAGAACTTCCTGCGGGCCCCTCAGGGATTCAGCAGATGGAGGGCTGAGGAATGATATGACTGCTGCTCTCCCGAGCTCCTGGGCAGTCGCTGTGGGGACCACAAGGGCCCTTGCCCTTTACTGGCAACCCTGATGCCTAACTCCACGCCATCCTCCCTTTCTGGCTCTTCAGAGAACTGTCAGGGCCCCTGGTTACAAAGGTCCTAAGTCATCTATTCAAACAATTAGGTTTTCTGCTAAGTCATTAACACCATCATGCACCCCCACACATACCACCACCATACAACACACACACATGTGGCTTTGCTCCAGAGAGGGAGGGCCCTTTAGCTAAGGACCAGATTTGACTGTATAGTGAGCACACCTCACTCACAATCAGGCACGTGAAGTTAGTATTTTCAGGTTTTAATTACCTTTGGAGAAAAGAGGAAGCCAATGGCTCCAGCATTCTTAGGCCATGGTGGCGTGTAAGCCTACCCAGCATATATATTTACATCCTATCACAGTACTATCTGGGAGGACACTTTCTGGAAGAAAAAAATAAGAAAGAAAGGAATCCCCTCCCTCAAAGGAAGTCAGAGACCAAGGTCGGTTACTTTGATAGCGAGTCATTTACATCTAAGTCTCTGTGAAAATAAACTCCAACCTGATTGTGTGCATTTATTCAGTTATATTTTAAAACCACTCAGCTGCTTCCACTTTTATTATTCTGAATCACAGGAATTTGTAAATACCTCCCAAATGGCACTTGTTGCCTTCTCGGTGTTTCAGCAGAGGGAAGGGGAACGGTGTGCCGAGCCCATCTCACCTGGAGGCCTGCACAGAGCCTCAGTTGGCTGTCTGCCAAGGGGATGCTGCCACCGTGCCTGTGCAACAGTAGCAAGGGGCTGTGTGTGTGGGCACCGCGCTACAGTTTCCAAAACGATTGCCCACGCAGCAGGTCACTTTGCCCTGTGCAGTCCTGTAGAGGTCGGCAGAGGAGGTAGAAGCAGAGATGAACGGCACTGTCAGCTGGAAGAACCCCTAGAGGCCATGTGATGCCACAGGTGGGGAAACTGAGGCTCAGAGAGCACACACATGTTGACTGGGGTCACCCAGCAGCTTCTAGTGGAACTCAGACAGGGGTTAACCTCTCCTTACTCTTAGTCCAGGGATCTTTTAGGAATCCCTCTGCCTCTAATGAGAACAACAATGAAAATATGCAAGATCCCACTATCATTTGTATTCATTTAGATGGTAATTCGAAAAATTTCTATAAGTATCTCTTCAGTTTGAACTCTCTGAGGTAGGCACCTTAATATTTATGTTACGTAACCTGACCATGTCTTGTCTGAGTATCTGCTGTGTGCCAGGTGTCGTGTTAGCCTCGGGAAGGAGTGCACACACACACACACATGTCGGTGCACACACTGCTCTCCTCTCCTCCCTCTGCAGCCATCTCCTGAGCACTTCGGCAGTGACTCCTCCCCGACCCCTCTGCCCACGCCCCTCCCGAGGTGGTTAGCATGGCAAGCAGAGTCAGCTCTTCCTGGGAAGGACCTTGACTTTTTATCCTGTCTAGACCCAGTGGCTGGTACATAATGGCTTCCTAGTACATCTTAGTAGAACAAAATCCAGGGAGTCCCCCAAAGAGACTCAGCTGTTTGCTAACCGTGTGGCCACGGACAAGTCACTTCACCTCTTGGTGTCTCCATTTCTTCATCTGTCAAAGGAGTAAGATGCTAACCTCCACCTCTTTGGTTTGTGGAAGGTAAGTGCCTGACCCACTGTAAGCATTTGGTATATCTTGGTATTATTACTATTATTAATTCACACATAGAAACTTCAAAGAGTGATACTAATATCTCATATTAACCAGTTACTACATACTAGGACCTGGAGATACAAAGCTGAATAAGAAGGGTTGGGGCAGCACGCTGGCTCCTTGACATGGCAGCCCCTCAGACAACTGTGGCCAATGAGTATGGAATGCATTTGAGGTCAGCAGACTCTGGAATCCAAACTGTCTTCTGCCCCTCAGCCAGTGGGGCACCCAGCTTCTATGTCTAAGCCAGACAAAGCAGGGCTACCCACAAGTTGTTTTGGATTCATTAGCCTTCGCCATGAGCCACAGTATGGATAATGTGGCTGGGAAATAATCACTGGTGGGAAATTGGGCCTTTTCTGATTTGCCCGGCTTTGACTTTGGAGTCTTCTGGTCACATTAATGCAAGCATCTGTCCCATTGTTAGAAATGCTGCTGAATGTGCTATTGCTTCCGAAACAAAGAGTACTTCATCAAACACCGAAAAGTAAGACATCATTTCTTAGTTATTCCTCTCTCCATTAGCCATGATGACAGTCAACCTGTCTGGTGCAGTGGAAAGAGTGTGCGCTTTGGAACCGGTCACCAGCCTTCACTTTGACTAATACGAGGCTGTACGCAAGCAGCCCCACCTCTAGGAACTTCCGTGATCTCATCTGCCCAGAGGGCATATGAATCCCTGCTTTGTCTCCCTCTCAGGGCATCACAGGAGCCCAGAGAGGAAGGGGTTTCAGACCAATCTCACGTGTGTGGGTAATGTTGGTAGTGAATGGCGAAGTGATGCCTGGCGTTAAAAACAGGTGCTCAGCACTGGCGCCTGCTGTAAAAGCCTTGGCAACACTGTGGAGCAGGTGTGCATCCCTACCTGCCGAGCAGGCAAAGGCTTAGTACAGTTGGAAAGGGCACATGGGTGTTCTTATCTTGGGAATAGCAAGAACATAAAAATAGATTGATATCCTTCAAGTGCAAATAGAAAGGACAGTAATGGAAAATCTGCAGTGGGCTTTCCTTATTTTACAGGTCTAACTCGTTTTGAGAAGTGACAGTTTGCTCCCATGTTCCTTGCTAAAGATATCCTTTCAGGAAATTATATTCCTTTCAGTTGTATTGGTGGCAACACAGAATCAGCTTGCTGTCTCATGAAATCTCCCATTTCCAAATACAGTCAGGTGTACTTAAGATGCAAAGTGTGTGAAGTGCCATGTAGATGGGTCAGCAGGGCCATGCACTCTGATGGTGATCCAACATAATCCCATTCTGCCACTGAGGGAATACAGAGACCTAGGGGAGAAGGTACACCTTTGAGAAGTGGCTTCATCCCATGGTGCAAAGGGATATAACTAAGCCTCTCAGGGATTGAGGCATACACCCCAGTTGCTGATAAGGCACAGCACTCCCACCCCAGGCTGGGGGCCCCCATTCCTTGGTTGATTCTGGCTACCTAGGACCTATATCTTTTAAATAATAGTACTAATTTTGGAGAAGACCAGCCTTGCTCCAGAAAAACCATCTAAAATTTAAAAGAAATCATTGAGTATTTCAAAGACAGAGAGTAATTGGAATTTGCTTTAAACTGTTGTCTTGTAGTTACTTTGGGCTGGTTTTGATGAATACAGAAATAGTATTTGTCATGAGAGTTATCAACTGCATACAAATGCACAACTCAAAAACACTTGGAAACAGTCGATCTCTTAAGTAGGTTAAGCATCCCCTCTAAATCTTGTGTGCATTTTTAATGTACTTACTGCCTCCTTTTAAATAGTGTTCGGTAGAATCCAATCTGTGTCAGCGCTTGTCTGAATCATACTTAAAAATTCAACTTCAGCGTTGCCGCTATGAATGAACCTGTGAAGTATCTCCTTACACTATGGCTCTTCATACATCAAAGACTCGTTTTGAACTGGGTAATTATAGAAGGAAAAAACATGTTTTAGTACTACCTGAGAGTTCTTATTAATATTACCTTTGAAATGACTAATTATGTTCCCCATAAAGATTAGGAGAAAGTATTATGTAACTGACTCATTAAAAAGGCCTTTCATAAACTTCGATCCTCTCTTCTTCTCCCCAAAGCTCTCCTTTATTTCCATCATTACATTGATTTTTTTTATGTTTAATGTTTACATACCAAAATATCTGATGACTCAGCACATGCTGGCACCACCACCCCCTGCCCCACAAACTTTGGCGTCTCTCTGGTGCTGAGATGTCAAACATGTGACCTGATTATCCTCACTCTTCCGGCCAAGCAGGTTGGCCATGAACCCTGAGACTCAAAGAGGATTTGAACAGCCCCTCTTTGCAAACTGAGTGTTGGAAAGAAGTGAGAAGGTGCCCCTGCTGATAACAGAGTAGGAGCCTGAGGGCCTTTTCCTACTTTGAGACCTGAACTCACACAGACACTGTGTGTGTGGTTGGGTGGAATGGTGCTGCCCATCACACAGTAGCCCCCTCTATGAATGAGGAAGAATTCTCCTCAGCTGATTTTTATCTTTCTGTGGAAAAGCCAACAGTGTGTGCATAATCTTACCACTAACTGTTAGGCTATGTCAAGAGAAATGAGTATCGGAGCGTCCACTGTGAGGGTGCTGACGGCACTGCCCGCGCTGAGGTGGCAGATAGCACCGGCAGCAGGACAACTTAGTTAGAAGAACCCCAGGCAATCAGGAGTCCTTCCTGGGTGCACCTAAGATAGTTGGCAGAATGCAGAACTCAAGCGTTAGAAGAAGAGTGGGAGGCTCGCAGGAAATGAAGGAGCAAGCTGCAACGGTGTCCGACTGGAGACCAGACAGCCCCAGGCAGGGAGGGCACCTGTCTTCCTGCAGCTGGAGGCCCGTCACACCGAAGAAGAGGAGACGTGTTCCGTGGGGCCCCAGTGTCTGGTCCACAGCTAGAGGCTCCCAGGAGACAGGCCTTCAGCTTACAAGCGGGAAGAATAGTCTGATCATGCTGTCAGCATGGGACAGGCTGCTCCAAGCAGTGTGAGCTCCCGCTTGCTGGCGATGTGCAGGTGCAGGTGGGCTTCGAGCAGCAGTGTGGGGCAGGGGGACGGACCACAGGTCTAAGTTCCCCTGAAAAAAAGTAGGCTGAGTAAGTCAATAAGTATTTATAAAGGGCCTACTCTGTTTAGTGCCAAGAAGGTTTTTTTAATTTTCTAAATGCCCCAAAATAAAGTTGCTGTTTTTCCTCATCAGGAGATGACCCATTCCTGGCCTACTCCTCTCACTGCCATGCACGCTCCTGGAAACCCTGAGCACAGCACATGCTCCATCCCAGGACAGGTCAGTTGTCTTCCTTCCTCCATTTTCCCTCATCTTATTGTAATTATTCCAACCTTCCAATTGGATTCTTAAAAATAAAAATGACCTTGGTGTTCTAGTGCCATAAAATGTAGACTCTCTCTTCCCCTTGCAATGTTAATATAAATATTCTTATTGAAAGTGGGTCTTTAAGAGAATACATATACAGACGCTGGCATGCAAATCACACTACCTAGAGTGCAGCCAGGGCTCACGCCACTGGGCCCGGAGCTGATGAATCAGAGGTGTGAACTCATCCCTCAAGAAAAACTGATCAGATGATGTAACAACAACATCCAAGACTGTTTTTTACTTTTAAAAAACCTATACTCTTCACTTGAATGATGAGTGTGCAGATCACCTTCCAGTCCCTGCTCACAAGCAGACAGATCCTCACACACCAACATATCCTATCGACAGAACTCCATCTTCTACAGTTCTGGTGTCAAATATTTAATGTAATTTTTTTACATTATGGGCTTCCCGCAAGAATTTTTCTCACCATCAGGTTTTAAAAGGCCTGAATGAATAAGCAGAGCTGTTCTAATAACATACTTTAAAGGAGAAAAAATAACGTCTTCCTCCCTTCCTTCCTTCCACCAATTAACCACCTGTCCATCCATCCGCTTATTTGGAAACCATTTACTGAGGACGTACAATAGACTCGAAGTTAGGGATGAAGAAAAACCTTCTACATGTTTCAGCTCAATGACAAGATGATGTAAAAAGTGCCTTCATGGAAACTAACAGGCTCAGAGAAGTATCTAACCCTGGGGCATGGAGGACCTCCCAGAGGTGGTGGCGTCTGGAGAATGCTTATACCTTCGACAGGGGGAGAAGAGCCCAAGAGAACAGGAGAGGAGCAGGACCGGCAAAGGCACGGAGAGATAAGGGGTTGTGGTGTGGCCCACACTGCTGTGGTCTTGAGTGGCCAGGTCAGACTTTGTGTGCTGTGGAGTGGAGAGAGATGACCCCTGACCAAATAAGTGCATCTCAGTGAAAGGCCTTTAAGGCCAGCCAAGAAATTAGGACTTTATTTGAAGAAGGAGAAACCCAGTCAGATCCTTTAGTTTTTAGGGTCCTGATTTCAGCAGTGACAGTGGCCTGAAATGCATTTAATTACCCCTTCCACCATTGAGAGGGGTCAGAACTAAGTCAGCAGCAACTGTCCCTGTCCCTGTCTGGGCTGTGCCATTCCCTCCGGGATCCCCGCTCTCCTGCCTTAGGCTGCTGTGGGTGTGCTTCCCCTTCTCCCCAGCATCCCAGCTAAGGGATCAAAGCCATCTGTTTCAGGGGCTGAATCCAACATCTGGACAGGCCATTGCAGTGTTTGGAGCTGTGTTCTGCAATTTTGGAGATAACTTTTTCAGTTGCAATTTTGACATTTACAAGTATATACAATAGAACTGGTTGTCTGAATGGGCTTTTGTAGTAAGTGCACAATTTGAAACCAGGCATGATTTGCATTTTCTGACAATTATCTCTGCTACCATTGACCCCATGGTGCAGGTAGAAGCAAGTGGATAAAATGGTGAAAACCAGGACAGTTACACACCCACTCTTTTGTTTCACTTAATTCCTGCCAAAATGTCGGTTTGAAAGAAAAGTACATTTTAAAACACAGTAATAGCATCAACAGCACAGAGAGTTATGTGTGTGCGTTGCCTCATTCTAAGCCTTTAATACATAGTAAATAACTCAGTCCTCACTATAACCCAAAGAGTGGTGATTTAAAGGTCCCTAATTTGCAGAGGACAAAATGTAGGCACAGCATTAAGTAATGTGCTCAGAATCACCCAGCTAGGAAATGAGGGGCCTAGTCTTTAGATCCAGGTGTTCCAGCGGTGCATTTCTCACACACAGTTCCAGATACCCTGGTTGCAATTCTGTCTTCCATAATGTGGCTGCCTCCAGTAAATACGCGTAGCCAGGGTGATTGCCCTTTCCTCGGCACTTGCACTAGAACTAGGTGATGCCACCCTCTCAGAAAGCATCCATTTCTTACATCCACACCAGAACTTGCACTGCAAAAGGGTTCTGCCTTAAGAGCGCAGACATGGCTGCTTTTAATCCTGGCTCTGCCATTGGTTGGCCATGTGGTCTTGGTCAAGTTCTTCCGAGCCTCAGTCCGCATCTATATTGTGTGGGTGTGTATATACTATATAATCTCAATGGAGTTTTCGGGTCAAATAGTCCATTATTCTGTAAACATAAAAACAGAGACAGGTGAAAATCCTCAACTTACTCAAGTTTACTTATTCATCCTAAATTGAAAATGTCACATTTTCTCATAGAGAATGGAAAAACTCAGAAGGAAGGGAGTACATTGCTAAGCAGAACTGGGGGAGCTAATAATACCCTCAGGGGAAGTTCAGAAAAGGCTTCACGGAGGTAAACATCCTCTAGACAGGCTGGCAAACTACAGCCATTGGTTTTTCAATTTTTAAATACTTAAGATTTTCAAAAGAAAGAGAATATGAATACAACTATGAATATTCTGAGGAATATGAATGATAATGAAATTATGGGAGTGCTATGAAATTCAAATTTCAGTGTCTATGAATCAAGCTTTCTTGGACTCCAGTGATGCCCATCATTTATATATTGTCCATGACTCCTGCCATGCTACAATGGTGGAGGTGACTGGTTATAGCATACAGAGATGGTATGCCCCATGGCCTAAAATATTTACCGTACAACCCTTTACAGGGCAAGTTACAAGGCTGTTACTTAAAATAGCCTCACATGAGTTTGTGAAAACAATACCTGTATGACCTATGAAAGAAACACACAGGTTGAAGTCAGGCATTTTTTTAAAATGTGTATTATGTGCATCCACAATTATTACATGAACAACACAGATTCTTTCCACAGCCAAGCTATCTCCAGTCAGGGTTGGGTATGTAAATGAAGTGACAACTCGGGTAATAGCCAAAGGTACTCATTTGTTTGGAATTCTGGTTTTAAAAAGTCTTACCTAGCTTAACATTAAAAGCTGTATCAGGAATGTATAACACCAATGACTCAGAATCAGTGAATCATATGACCCTCCAATTTGCTTCAGGCCTCACTGCCCTAATGCCCTGAAAAATTGATTGTTTGGGTCTAAAGTACAAAATACTTGGATGAAGGTGAATGATTCAGTCCAGGCCTCCAAGACCAGCACAGAGACTGGCTGCATGTTTCACTCTTTGATCAGATATTAGTTTCACTTGACTTTGCAACTTGTCCTTCACTTCCTAAAGGTATACAAGCCCAAGTTTACTCTATGCAATTGTAAGGAAATGCCTTTAAAAAAATAACAGGTAGAAAAATTAGTGTATAGTAAAGACATACAAATGGCTAACCACTCATTTATTTTCCACTCTGGGAGTTGAAACTCTTGGATAACCAAAGGTTTTCCCTCCATTGGAATCATGTAAGAGGAATCATTTTTGAAATGTAACTGATGTTTTCCTGACTTCTTGTAAAAATTATAGTGAACAGTCTTTAAGTCTTTTCTCGATGACTTAGACAATATGATGAGCATGAGTTTTGTACTAGGCTGTAATTTTGCACTGTGCTGTAATTGGGCCCTCAGTAGCTATTAGGATGGTTAGAAATGCTTGCCACTATATTAAATGGCCATACACTCTTCTGCTTTTTAAGTTCTGACTTTGCGGTGTTATTTTCTTTGGCCCCCTGTGCTGCCTGTGCTGTCGGTTTTCATGCCTCAAGCAGTGTTTCCCCTTCCTCACCATCTATGATTTGCAACAGGGTGAGAATCAAATGGCCAGGCTTGTTAGAGTCCTGTCAAAAGCCAATTCTCGATCAAGTGAGGGTACAAAAGCCTTTGAGCAGCAAACTGCATGGGCTCTGACAGCTCTTTAGTTCAGAGGCCTTTTCCATCTCTTGTAGAGTTTATGGCAGTCCCCTGGAGTGGTGGGCTTGCCAGAAGGTAAGTCTCTTGGGCCGCAGAATCATACTAAATAGATCGAAAGGTTCACTTTTGATTAAAGCACAGGGTTACTGTTCTTGCTTTCTTCTCTTAAAGGTAAATTATACTGTGATCCTATTTTTTCCACTATATGGTGGCAAGATTAGGCTTAAAGAGTAGATTACTTGCAGCAGTGATTGACATAGCTTATTTTTATATTGACTTGAATTTGCTGTCTCCAGTTTTGGAACACTTGCTTTCAGTCGATCTCTCTTTCATTCTCACAGTGCCGTGTACGCCCTGTATCTCACTGTAGGGCTTCTGCCTGAAAGTTTTGTTAGAATCCACACAAGTGTTCCCTGCTATCAGAAAGCCCAATGTGTGCAAATCAGATTTGCAAAAACAGTGAATGTATTGTATAACTCAAATAAAATTCAAGTTCCCTTAAATAATATGCTCCACTAGCATATTTCAAATAGCTTCCTATACTTGACCAAATTTGTGATGAAGGTTTAAGAACATTTCTCTTGAGAAAATGAGATACATCTATTGTATATATGTCACAGCTAAGGTAGAAAACTGGAGTTGTTTTGGTAAAAGGGAACAACTGAGTGAATGTATTAATTGCAGCAGTGTTTACACTTCTACCAAAACTATGATCATTTGTTTGTTTGAACCAAGTACCCTTTACTTCCTTAGAGGCATCATTGCCTGGCTAAGTGAGAAATTATACACTTGAATTTCACACATGCGGGTCATTTGTTCCCGTGCTGCACACATTTCCAAGCAGATACCACTCTTACTTAAAATTCTGCTACAGCGGCAGTCGTGGTCGTGTTGCAGTGAGCGGGCTGGGCTAGCGAATGTTCATCCTTCAAGTAGGGCTGCAGACAGAAGCCTCATTAATGGGATTGCTAACAGTGGTTTCCTTTTTGCAAACATTAGTCAAGCTAACTCTTCAGCAATAATAGCTCTACCTTTTGTTCCCCTTGTATCACTTAACTAATGTTTGTATTGTATGTGTTCTTCCTTATAGGAATCCCAACACCTGACCCCAGGATTCACCTTACAAAGTAGGTGTTCTTAAGAAATTCTTCTTAGTCCAAACATTCATGTCTTCTTCTTCCTCACTTTCTTCTCTTTCCTACCTAACATTCATTAAAACATGAAACAACAATAACAGAAGTCATATTGTGGTACATCCAATCGGTGCCTTTTGATTGTTTTCATCTGTTATTCATGGCAAGATGCTGTGAGAAAGTGTAACTGGAAGGGCTGCATGTTTGAAGACAAGTGCATTCAAAATAATCATTTGACAGTAGAAAACATGCATCGTAATCATGTGTGCCCTTTCTTTTCAGAGTGGAGTGACCCGACCAGCAGAGCTTCTACGAAGTCAGTATTGCTCAGGTCGTGAGTACTTGGGTTTCCAACACAGGCTTCTTCAGGGATATTGGCAAGGAAACAGTGTCTCAGCACTGAGTGAATCTCTCTCTTGCTCCTTGAAAATATGACACTTGGTTCTTACTAATATGGAGTTTGGTTAGAGGGGAGAATGGGATTTCCCACAATAAGCAAGTAACAGTAAAAATGAATGTGATCATCATTAGACTCTCTCATGATGTAGGCAGTCTGGATTTATACCTGGGGTATGAAAACAACTGGAATTCATGAGCGATGAGCAGTTAGATGAGCATTATGTAACTTCGGCCACAGGTACCGTTATGTGCACTATTCAGCCACCACTGACTAGGATGGGGAAGACATGTCTAAGCAGCCATGTCTTGAGTGGGCATGAAATGTTGAGTGGATTGCTATGGCGAGTCATCCTGAGACCTTGCTGTTTGCAGGTCATCTGGCGACTGTATATTAAAGACAAACAAGGGTAGCCAGGAAGAGACGGAATTAGAGATTACAGGACGCTAGGTTGAAGTTCAGAAGCCAGGGCCCTGCAATTCACTCAGCACTGTCTTTATTTTTTTATTAATGTTATCTGGAGGAGGGGTATGAAGAAACCAATTTCCTCAGGCTAACTATTGTAGATTTTGTAATATCCATTTGTCCAAGAGCGTATCAAGGGAGTATGTCTCTCACAACTTCTTTCATTCCTAATAATGGAAAATGGAAGTCTACTTCTCTGTGTAATAGTCACATACTTGAAAATCTTCAAAATGAAATAATTTATGATGTTCAAGTGGTCCAATGGCACACTTGAAGTAAATTGCTCACCTTTCGGAAGATCACGAATAATTGCATATGACAACTGGGAATGACTCCCACATAGAGCAAGGCTCTAAGAAAGCCACTGGTCTTGTTTCTGTCTAGCCACAAAGCCCCCAGATGGCTGACCCCATCACTGGCCTTCTCATTTGGTCTTCTGGTCTGGTCTGTGCCTTCTAATTCAAAGTTCAACTTTCAACAACAAATAATTCTCCATTCAAAGAAGTGAGAAAAAATGAGGGATGGGAAAAAAATAGAACCATAACCCTGATTTAAGGACCAAATTGTAGGGAAAAATTGAAATCAGAATCATCTTTGATATTATTCATCTCAGCTTTTCCATTCATCACCAAGCGAATTAATTGGCCTTCCCCTTGTTATCCTAGTAAACAGTAGCTCTCCTTCTCCTACCTTGCCCCACTCCCATTAAAAAGTCAATAAAAATCTCTCTCTCTCTCTCTCTCTCACACACACACACACACACACACACACACACACACACATGAACGTTTAGAAAATCAATGCAGGTTTCCAAACATGAAAAAGCATAAAAATATTTTTCCTACTGTAAAATGGTCTTCCTCCTAAAGCAAGAGTATTAGGCTTCTGCTGTGAAATATACTGATTTCCATATAGGCCATAAAATGCAATATTTTAATGGTTTGTAACTAACGCAAATACACTCAGTAATTGCAGTTTATAGTTAGAGACTGCATTTCCAGTGAACAGCACTTCATAGCAGAGGGGGTATATAATGCATTCAGGAGAACTGAGGTTCTCTCTAGGAAGTATCGAGAAAACTAGAAGACAGTTCTTTTATGAATGAGCTTCTCTCTTCTCAGCTGCTTGATCTAAATTGAAAGCATTGTCCATCAGACTTTAGCTGGAGTAAGTTCCCTTCTTATGGTAGAGAATGGATTTAACATAGGACAGATCAGAGTTGTAATAACTATTTTTATTCTTAGCTTCCAAGTTATTATCAGCTCAGCATGACTGTCACTCTCCCATATTTTACTATGGGGCGCATTTTAAGCCAGCTTCTAGGATTGCCATTTGGCAGGTAATCCTCCAGGTGACTAAGAACATCTGAGTGTAGACAGACTGCTGGTGGCTGGAGCTTGGTAGAAAGCAACCCCTAAGTCAGGGTTGCTGCCAGAGAGACACGTTCCCAAGGCCAGCACATGTTCTGGCCATGCTCCTGCCACTTACTGCAGTGGAGAGAAATGGGGGTCATGCACTTCAGAATCCCTTAATTGCTGGGATGCTTTATTAGTTCTCCTCCTCTGGGCCTCTTTTCCCCAGTTGATGAAATGCAGATCTTCCATTTGGGCTTGGACTGGTTAGAAGGACCACATGCATAGACACCGGGTCTGCAAACACTGGCCCAAGTTTGCCTGAGCACAAGCTGAGAACCAGCCAGGCTCCCTCCATGTTCTTGGTGGTCCCTGCACTTTCTGGGCCTGGCCAGAAGTATGACTGGCCTTTTGGAGAACTGGGGCTTCCTTACTTGGTAGGCTCCACTGACACGCGGTGCTTTTTAGATGTGTTCATCTGTGGGGTGAATCCTACCCACCTCAGCTGGAATTCTCACCACCCATGAAGCAAGAGCATTAGACCGGGGGTGGGGGGTAGTTTGAAGACCTGAGTTTGAGTCCTCCCCCACCCTCTGGAACCATTTAGCATCGTGGGGAAAGCACGGAGCTGGGATTCAGAGGATGCAAGTTTACATCATAGGGGAATTTATTTTTATTTCAAAATATACAGGTATAACCCCTTAAGAGAAAGTAACCAAACTGATGAGTATGCATGTGTATATACATACAGGTACACGCCCCAACACTTGTCAGAATTCAAATGTAAGCAAGTATACTCTTTAGTAATTACATGTAACAATAGCAAAGCACATTTACCTTTTAACCCTTAATCATTTCTAGAGGAAAGCAGACCTAACCACTTTTTATCTCCCCAGTTTATGAGTCTGAGCTGTGCTGTAATGTTGGAACAGGCCTCACCCAAGTCTTCGAAATCCAGTGCAGTTTGTAGCCTCCTTCAGAAAAGATCTCTGTCCCCAGACAGGGTGGGGCCTGGACTGATGAAGGTCAAACTGTATTTCTTAGAGCTATAGACTTGTATATTTGTACAGTAATATCATGTCCATTCTTCCTCTAAAAGATCCATTTATTTCAATGATGAGATTCAGGGGTTGAATGGATGCAGCAAAGATTGTGTTACTTTCTAGTTTCTTAAGGGAGCCATTGGCATAGAACATGACTGAGATCAAACCCAAAGGACCTGGATGTCCTTTGCTGGCTTGGCTTGCTTCATCTAGTCAATTACTTGTCAGCACAGTGGCTTTAAAAAAATACATGGCCTTGCTGGTCTTTCATGAGCCATCCTAAACAGGAACAGTGAAGACATATGCAGTTACCCTGAGAAGCATTTCCAGACAGCATCAATGAACTCAAGGCTGGGCGTGTCAGCAGGCCTTGACTCATCTCGTTTTGTGAGCACTGTTGAGAAGATGGCAGCTGCAAATAGGCAGTCCCTTTGTTGTACTTGGTTGGGAGCATCTGCCCTCTGTCCAGTTGGAAACCGTCCAGTCCCCTTTGAATCAAGCCTCTCCTGTGTTTTAAGCCCTGCTCTTGAGATGCCTGCAGGGTCTCTATGCAAGCCCAATGTCAAGGCAGATGCAGCCATGGCACTGTTCTTCCCTTGCCATGAAACCAGTTCCTCCTCTTATGGCATTGACTACAGGTTTGGGGACCTCCCAGCCATGGACCCAGAGAGTTGGCGAAAAGCCTTAGGGAGACAGACTCATTGTGGCCAGCCTCAGTTTACCTGTGGGCAGTGGGGATGCACTCCACGTGAGCAAATCCTTCACCGTAGCCCTTGTTAGGAGGAAAGGAAATGACTCTGTCTCAGGAATGGCAGGTGTCTCAGACAGGAGTCATTCTGCTATTGAATACATGTACCAGGTTAGTGTCCAGGCCCCATGCCAAGTGCTTTTGTGTCCATCACACTACCACACTTGCCAGCTATCCTGGAGAGGCTCCAAGTTATTCCCATTTTACAGATGAACCAAAGCTAGACCCTCCCCATGAGGTGTGCGTAGTCCAGTGGGAAGACAAACTGACCTTGCACACTTGAATGGACATTGTGCCTTGAGGACACAGAGGGCCTCGTAAGTTATACCGCTCCATGGACGGAGAGCTGGATGCAGGCCTCTCTCTTCCCACCAAGCTGCCCTTCCTTCTGGGATCTGATGGGTCAGGGATTTGGAACACTAACCTTGACCTTTTGAACCTGGGCACAACCTTCAAATAGACTTATAGGGCTGAGATTGGTGAGAAGGAGCCTCACAAGAAATTATACTTCACCTCTCTGTTTTAGGTGATAAACAACCAGGTCAAAACTGCTTAAATAAAGCATTATTTCTAAACTTTTCTCTATGTGATATGAAAATTTCATTATCATAGAGAATAGAAAGATTATTAGAATGTTTTTCAGTTTGTTATAACCAATAACAAGCCTTGTATGATATCCTAGATGAATTTCAATTTTTTTTTCTTTAATCAAAAATACTCCTCACATTAATTATAACCCTGGTCATCCTTCTACCACATCTTTGATCATCAAAACTGTTTCCTTTGGGAATCTGATTTGGGATTTGAGACCTGTTGTACCTTACTGCAGAGCAATAGCCCACATCTCTAACAATTTCATATATTCTTCCTGAAGTAGATGTTCAGTCTGCTGTTTAGATACAATTTCAGTAGCAAAGTAACTGTGTAATGAGGCAGGGGAAAAATGACTGTTATTTTCTTAGTCAGATGAATTCTTAATTAGAACACATGATTTGGTACTTGGAATTTAGAAATACTACTAATCAGTTTGAAGCTTCAAAAGCCAAACTTAATTCCCCTAATAAACTGGTAATCTCCATGACTTCCTCTAGTTTGCAGCCCTTCCGGTTTTCAGACTGAGACATATGCCAACCTTTGCTTTTAACCTATCTTCTGTGCCCTGCATCTCAGAGCTTGCCAACTTTTCCTAAGGACTTAATATATTTTTGGAAGTTCTCCACCACACCAGGGACAAGCCACCTGGGAGCAGAGGAAACCAAATTTGGCAGCCTGATCAAGCTGTGAATTAAAGGTAATTCACAGTTTGAAATG